GCGAGGGCAGTGGAGGTGAACTGATCATCAACATTCGTTTTTTTCCACTTAAGGTGCTGTGTTCTTTTTGCTTCACCTCAGGCTTGTACGCTACTTGTCCTGGGCAAAGACAGATCACTGATGTCTTAGTCCTTGGAATGAGTGATTGGAAACACTGTAATGCTCTGTCTCTGCTTTTAGGATGTAAAGGCTGACCTGAAACTCTTTTTTTTTTTTTTTTTTTAGAATGATATTTACAAGCGGTAGCTTTGCCTTCTCTTATACTCATTTTTATGTTGCAAGAAAACACTAATACACATAAGTGTAGGTTTAGGCTAGATATTAGAAAAAATTTCTTCACTGAAAGAGTGATCAGGCATTGGAACAGGCTGCCCAGGGCAGTGGTGGAGTCACCATCCCTGGAGGTGTTCAAGAAACGTGTAGATGTGGTGCTTCGGGACATGGTTTAGTGAGTTAGGTGGTGTGGGTTGGACTTGATGATCCTTGAGGTCTTTTCCAACCTTAATGATTCTATGATTCTGTGACTTTGAGGGAAACAACTAACAGAGCCCATTTTAGATTTTGAACACTACAAAATGTAATTACACTTTTTTTTCCAGGTGGAAAATGGATCTGGAACTTTACCAGCTGAAATTCTTGAAAGCTGCTGCTGTTCCATACCTGAAATTACATAATTCACATACAGTTCAAGATCTTTGGATTTACGAACAGTGGTGCTGATAGAAGATTTACATTTGATTTTGGGTTTTTGTTTATTATACATTATTAACCATGAATTAGTAAATGATCAGAGACTGTAAAGCTGAAGTTAATACAGAATTTAAGAAAGTTAAAACTTTTATTGTAGATTAACAGATTCACCGAACATTTATGTAATATACTGATTCTGAAGTATTGCAAAAGGAAGGGAGTTAATATGCTCATAAAAACAGAATTGTGCATCATACTACAGAATAGTGTGGCAAAACAGGCCCTTTCCAGGCCTCAGCAGTTGCTCAGACAAACGCTGCAGGTAAAAACCGTCTCCAAAATCCGCTAGTTCTTAATATGTGATAGATTAGGGGGGTGTTGCCTGTTGTGTGGGAAGTCTTACCTTACTAGGTATTTTCAACACCTTTTGCAGTAGCTTGGAAAAGTCCTGTTCTATTGTAGATATACTCTGTGATGTCTGGGCCAAGAATTGGGCAAAAAAAGCTTGATAATATGTTTAGTTGTGTGTTTAAGAGAACAGTTTCAGGCAAAAACCCCACCTTAATCCATTCAGTGTGATGAGATTTGTAGAGCTGCTGCAATAAATGATGTAATCATTCTGAGTAGCGGCCATGTGCTGTTATATTTTTCTCCTTTCTTGTTCTGCAGCTGTTTCTGGACCATTTATGCTACTACAGAACTAGGAAGTTACAGCAGTTGCAAGACTTGGCCCTTCCCCAGCTTTTATTTGTTGCACGGCAGCTGTTCTATAAGGCAAAAAAATTCTCCTTCCTGGTGTTGTTGGACTGAAGTTCATTCGTCATTGTCCTCTGTATAGCTGCTGAAGTAATCACTGGACAGGTACTCTTGCTTGCAGTCTGCCGTTTTTTGCTCTCAGCCTGAGTAGAGCATTATGTTCCAAACACTGACATTTTTATTAGTGATTCAGTGCAGTACGAGATTATGTATTAATCACTTTTGTACAAGGATGCAAATGTGTCTTAATTCTGAATTACTGTTGCAAGTTTTAAGACAGGTTAAAGAATACTGTGTGCTGTCTGGAACAGATTGTAAATTTCTTGGGGCAGGAGCTATGTTTCCAGCTGCCTGATGTGTGTTATGTGCTTATGGCTCTGTTAAAACAGAAAAACTATGTGGGGGTGGGGGGCTTTTTCTTTTAGCCACTTCAGGAGAATGAGCTAAATGTCAGCAAATTCTGCCCCTTGTGTGTACAGCTGAATTGTGAGGCAGTGAATCAGGTCTGTTGTCAAAGTGCATAATCTGAGCGGGCATTTCCAGTCCATGCATTAATCCGTCTGTACTACATTGTGTGGCTTTGGCAGCTGGGTCCCACAGCCAGAGCATGCCGCTGATCCCCTCAGCATCATGACACGATGGATAATATGATCTCATGAAGTACTTACATATTAAATCCATTTGGGCTGCTTGCAGAGATAAGGATGTAGTTGTCCATATGTGAGGAATCAAGGCATTTATTAGCATACAACCTAAGTGAATTAAAATGGTATTTGAAAGTGGTCATATAGGAAGAAACTGATTCATAAGCCAGGGTTTCAAATTGGATGTAGTTTGGTTTTGATCCCCAACTCCCAGTTGACTGTGATGGAAAAAAATTAGTGTGTTAACTAATTGTTGCTGTTGTCAGGAAGTTGCAGGATAAAGGCAGTGTGTGTTAAGGTACATTGCCAGCTGACAAAACCTTCATGCCTGTGGAACTTTGCACTTCACTGTTGGTGCTCTTGACAGAGGTTTCTGACGTGATCCTGAATGTAGTTGCATTGAGTCTTCGATTGCTTTGAATACACTTGGACTGAGCAGCTTCCTAAATAATTTGAGGTCTTCCCATAGCTAAACCTAAAGTCTTGCAAAAAGTTAGGACTTCATTTTAGTCCTATGAAAAGATGAAAGTACACTTTCATTCAGGTCATGCTATCTATCTTTAGAGTTTGTGGAGGGAGATTAAACTTCTAAAAGTTAGTTTGATGCTTCCAAGAATTTCCAATTTTTGGCTTGAAAAGTATGTCATTTTCTTGTGCCACACTTCTATCTCTGAATTTGTAAACTCAAACAGTCCCAGTAACTAAGTAACAGCACAGCTGAATGTTTTCATAAAAACAACTTTGCTGCTTAGAGATGTGATTTACTACTTAAATGTGTGTCTGTACATATATATAGAGGCAAAAAAAGTGATGATGACCTCATCTTAAACCAGCTCACAAGAGCAGTCTCAGTTTTTCAGTCTCTAAGCCAAAGACGAATTTACTGTAAGCAGACAGAACCTCCATTGACTTCAGTTGCAGTATCACCATTAATGTCAGTACTCACTTAATTGCTGAGATAATTCTGGTTTTAGTGATCAGTGCTTGAAATGTAAACCTAAAAGAAAAAATATTATCTTGTATCTTTCCTGGCACAGAAAGGAAAGAAGGAGAAGCTAGTTAATATTCAGGATATTACAAGTAAATCTTAACTTTTTTTTTTTTTAATTTTGATATTGTCTTGGTAGAAGACTGTTTTTAAACCAATTTAACAGTGCTTGGACCATTCCCTTTACTTAGAATCTGTTGGAAGTGATGTCATATAGCAATTACTCGACACACAAAATAGAAAGAACTGCTTGTTCTCTAACTTATTAAAAAAAAATCTTCAGATACTTTTATTTGGCAAAAGTTTCTCACAGTTTATGGGCTGTGTTCCTCCATTTTCTTTAAACAAGATTCCAAGTCACAAGTAGAATATTCTGATAAATTATAGTCAGTTTTAGATGCTGCATATAGCCCTCATTTAATCTGTATTCATAATATTTAAAATTTCTAAATCTTACACTTGCATGCTTCTACTGAAACAGTTAAGTCTTTACCAGAAGGAAAACTTTCTATTTGTGTAATATTTATTGATGTTAAACCCACATTATATCAGCACAACAATCCAAAGTAATGCTAATACATTTTTTTATAAATACAAATAAAAGGTGGCAAAATAATGCTAGTGAAGCTAAACAAAAAAGTAAATTAGCATGTCACAGTCGAGAAAAATTTGGCAAATGATATGACATACCTTTTCTAGAATAGAATCAGATTATTCCCAGATGACAGACTGATGTTAATCTAGATTAACAATCCCCATAACTGGTCATATCCTGCACCAGAATAGTACTACTTTATGTGCTAAAGTTTATTAGTCACTAACAACAAACTTTGTGTACTTACAAAGCAATACATGTATAGCAGTAATGCAGTATATTGTGTACACAATTACAAAATTTAAAAAAAAAAAACCTAAGTACAGGACTTCTGAATAACTGAACTGAGATAAAAGATTTCAACACTTTTATTATAAATAATGAAAGATACCATGTATGTGCTTCATATAAGGAATACAGTGTTTTCCTTTCATAGCAAAGTATGCTCGTACCATCAAATCCTCATTTTTCTTGTCAGGCCTAGTAATTCTTCCATCCCTCCCTCCCCTTCATCTGAAATTCATTTGATTCTAATTTAAAACCACCTAGTCAGGTCTGGTTTAGGTGGGGCTCCAGTTTGATGTGGATTTGCCTTGCATTCTGAAAGTAGCCTTCAGGCTTTTCATCTACGGTGCACAGAAAAGAGCTGGCATTTGCCTAGTCAGGAGAAGGAAAAAAGAAAATTGACTAGAACCGTGGGCTATGTTAAGAATTTCTTTAAAAGGTGCAAATTTTATGTTGTTTTTGTCCATCTTCATTTTCTACTTCCTCAGATCTGCAAGCTTATCACCTGTGGTGTATACTTGGCATTTAAAGTCATATTGCAGTCTCAACACATTTCTCACTTACTGTACATTTCTAAAATCCTCATACGCATTACACCAGCTTTAAATAGTCAAATGTCCTATACATACACTCTCTGGTTTTCAGCTCACCTTAGAATTTCAGATTCTTGAATGGGAGTATTATGTGGTTACAGACTGTCATCAGGAAATCCATAGAGAGTTTCAGCCTCTTGCCCTGTCCCCCTCCCACCCCTTGCAGCAGCGTACTGCAGTGGTTCATACCGTTGGCATTTTTTCCCCCCTGTCTTAGTTACTAATATTTAGAGTCTGGAGTAGACTGTTTTTACATGTCAGCTCTTTTTCTTCATTGTCTTGAAGAGGTTAAATTACTTATGCTTAAACTGTTGTTGCTGTATGTTTGTAAGTAAGCCTTCTCCTAGATGGCAAAAAGGAAAAATACAAAAGAATTTAAAATTACGGTGTCGATGTTGCTTTACAGACTTGTCCATGCTAACAGCATTTAAGGCAAGGTATTTTTTCGTTGTAGAATAGAAAGCAATTTGCAGAGATACAGCATCTGCCTATGTTTCTCTTCTTTGTCCCTTCCTGTTTTAGTCTTACAATATTGCACTTGTTTCCTTGTAGCGATCAGAATGCATTGCCATCTTAGAACTCTAGCTAACCATACATTCTAATTTTCTTTGTGATCTAATGGCCTCAAATAAAACATCTTGCACCATTAAGATTGTGTGGCATCTACTTATTGCTTATGGAGGCATGTAGTGATAAATAGTGTTCTCTTCTGAAAAATCTCTCTCTCTGATATATTTTGGCCTTTATGAGAAGGGCTGTTTGTAAGAGCTGAAGCAACTTAGGTATAAGGAACTGGTGAAGGTGATTTGTTGTGCAATGTGTACATTTCTATTAATCTATCTATTCTTCTAATTTGGTATAATGAATAAGGAATATATGGTTATTGTGTTCGTTGTTTCTCTTTTGTACTTGCAGGTGTCTGCCTTTGCATAAAGTGACATACGAGTATCATTGGTCAAGGCAATGGCTTTCAGTGTTTCTGCTTTGAAAGAAAATGATGGAAGTGGCAGCTGGATCTACAGATCATCACTCTCTACCAAGCCAGATTGCATTGTCAGGTGGACTGGATTTGCTTCAGGCTGGAAAGCTGCTTTGATGTCTAGTCCTTGGTCACAAAGTGCAGCGTATCGGCTGGCTGACGGCCGCACCTTCTTTGGCTTGGTTGTCTGAGGTGGTTGTTGCCACTGAGCTATAGATTAAAAAGGAAAGAGAAAACGTTAGCCATCTTGAGCTGTGCAACAGTGTGTGCCTGGTGCACAATCAGCCCTTTGTAAAGGAGGCACTAACTTCTGAGCAGCAGAAAACCATTATATCAAAGGTAAGTTTGTTTCATTTCTTGATGAGTGGTTTTTTTTCTCAGCATCTAGTTTCACCTTGAAATGCGGTAAGTAAAAACAATAGTCTCTGTGTTTGTTACTTTGCCTTTTTGGCATTACTGTCTACCTTTCCTTGTGTCACTGAGAAGGGGAACAGCAAGGGTTTTGTTTCTGTGCACTAATATTACAGTGACAGGCCTGTTCGAGGGTTGTTTGTTGTATGGAAAAATAAATAATCTGGTTCCCATTGCTGCCCCTTGTATGCTGAAGAATGAGGAGCCACGTCTCTAATTCACAAGTCCCACTACCACCACCACCCCAGAAACCATCCTTTGTCACTCCAGTCTCTTCCGTCCCCCCCCACCTCCCCGTTAATTCCTGCTACAAGAAGAGTGGTAAGAGATTTTGGTTTAGGAAAACATTCACTGTGTAAGGGGCTGCTTTGGAACAAACTGAATTAAGCAAAAAGCCATAAAAACTACACTTCTGGTAGCTGCACAGGTGTATTACAGACTAATGTCTAAAGAATACAAAAGGTTAGGGAAGTGCTAGCAGAGCAAGAGTAATAATGATCCACAAAAATAATGTAATCATGCCGTTATCTGTTGTTAATTAGCTATATTTAATATACTAAGCAAAAACAGAAAGCATGCATGGTTGTTTTGCTTTAGGTATCTGAAAGATGGTGAAAGGTACTTTGACAGAGCATTTGTTGTCTTGATGTGGATCGTTATTATTGAGGAGAAACTATAAACAAAAGAAAGAGAGACCAATGTAAACCATTCTAGAACAAACTGAAACTTATAGAACTGTTGCTTTTGGGGGAATTAAGGTGATCATGAAAACTGAAGTCACTTACTATAAACATCCAACCTGGCAGTGCAAGACACAATCCCAGCGTCATTCTTAGCTGAAACAGTGTACCAGCCAGCATCCTCCTTTGTAGCTCCCTGAATAAGCAGGCAAATGTAGCCGTAGTTATCCTGGTGCATGCTAAAGAAAAGAAAAATAGAAAAATACTATTTCAGTTGCAAAACAGCATAGGCTACTTTAAAATGTCATTATAAACCAACCCAATCCTAGTTACAGATTAATTATGGTCCACTTCTAATTAATGTGGAACTTCCTCTGAAATTAGCAAGTGGAAAATAAAACCTTGAGTATGCTTGACAGTTTGACAGTTTAATATCCTGTACTGAAAAGCAAAAACGCATAAAGTAACTTCTCTTCAACAATTACAGATTAAGACATCTGGAAATCTGATTTAAGTAGTAGGGACGCCAGAACTTACCCAGACTTTTTGGGGAAAGGACAAAAAACTTGAGGAACAAGGTACTGTCATACTCTTAGTTATTTAGAAGGACAGCAATAATGTATTACAGTGTCATATCAGTTATGAGTTCCTTTTCTCGCAATATATAATGAGTTTCTTTTAAACATTCCTACAAAATGTTATCAAATATTGAAGACAAATTTGTAGATCTTAAAATATTGGATCTTAGTTGCTTAACTACGCAGCAGTTATGAATCAAGGTTTCTGCTGAGAAGCAGATAGTTTTACTTAGGAGCCTAGGTTTTCACCAGTAAATTTCTATAAGTGATAGTTCCAGAAGAGAAGAACTGCTTCTCCACTTGCCTGAAGTGCAAAGATAGTTGTGTAAGTTCAAGGATGGAAAACAAAACTAACATTTTAATTCTGGTGTAGCCACCAGGCTGGCTGCAAGTTTGAGTCAATGTCATAAATTATTACAATAACTAGTTAATATTTATGAGCTGCTGTTCACACCAAGCATTCTTAAGACCTTCTAGGTTTTCATTTGTGTTACAGGATAAATCATCATTGAAGTTATACAGGGGAAGATTATTCTAAGTCAGGCTAACCTCACTCGGTCTGTGTTGTACGTGAGTGACTCGTTCTCTTTCTTCCAAAATATCTGAGGAGATGGCTCCCCTGAGATTCGACACTCCAATCGCACTGGGAATCCTTCAGTCACGCCTGTGTTTTGTAGCTTCTCTATAAACACGGGTGCTTTTTGTACTTCCTTGGCTGTGAAAATAAAGATTGCAGTCATGTTGACACTACTCTATGAAGATGTAGCCTTTCTTTCAGCAATATGCCAAAAACCAATAATGAAAATCTAAGTGGTAGGAAACTTAAGTAAGTGTTGTATTCATTAATCACAAAGTCCAATTCTGGTTCATCTGAAGAAAACAGTCACATCAGTATTTTAATAGGGGAAAAAGTGAGCGCTGATAGAGCTGAGTGGTTTCCCTATTTCCTCCCCCTTCCCTGAAAGAATTGAAATGTTGAGCTTGATAAACTGACTGCACAATGCTTGCTGAACAGTGCTCCTTCATATTCCATAAAAGGATGGGCTTTTAATTATAGAAGGAACTGCTCTACCAGCAGGTTAGAATGGCATTAGTCTAATATGCTGCGAGACACACAAATCATGTCATGCTGGCTACCCACGAGGAGATACAGGCCTGCACAAATTGCCTTTACAAACCCCATTCAAGTAAGTAGTCTGATTTGTGGCCTCTTTTCTCAACTGTGTGCACAGAGGTTACTTGCCAGTCGGCTTATGCCGCAACATAACATAACTGTATGATCTGTAACTATACTGTAGGTCTGTTACTGCCAGGTTTCCCTTTCTTACCCCACACCCCTCAGCCATGTCATTTGACAGCACTTATGTTTTCCTTTTTCTTGTTACCCTTACAGTGCTCAGTGTGGAAGCTTAGCATGAAGATGTTACCTGCAACAACGAGCTCCAGGCTGAATGTATTTTCACCAGCTCGATTGCTGGCAATGCACGTGTAGATTCCAGCATCTCTGGCTGTGACTGGTTCTATGATCAAGGAGTGCACACCATTCTCACGCACCAACATTTTGTGAGAACTATCAGGACGAATTGGTCTTCCATTAAGTTGCCAGCTTAAATCTGGAGTCGGTAATCCACTAACCTGAAGTGTAAACAGAGAATTGGAAATGGTCTTAGCCATACGAAACACTGGAGGAGTCCTGACTTGTTACTTCAGAGAAGTTTGGTTTTGTTTGCTACTGCAGGTGTACCGCAAGATTCTGTCCTGAATTACACACTGACTCAGTTGTATTCGTTTACTTACTTTCTGGCCAACTCCCTGAGTTCCGTGATGGGCGTGACTGAAAAAAGATCAATGTTTAGATATGCGAGAAGCTAAATAATACCTTGTAAAACAAAAGGCAGGGTGACTCCTTTCTCGATCAACTTCTTGTGGAAGACTTGCAGACAAAAAGACATAGCTGACTATTGAACTCTTAAGTTCCATTCCACTTAGGTGTAACCTAGTGACAGCACAGCCTGCACTAGTTAATGCTCGGTCTGTGTGAACAAGTCTTGTACTTTTGAAAGCTATGCCATTTGGTGTGGGTACTGCTTGAAAACAAATAGCTTCTCCCAAATATATCAGCATGAAGTAAACAGGAGTCATCCAAGCCTTAATTAATTCTGTTAGGCAAAGTCATTAATCAGGATTATATTGTTTGAAGCTTTAATGGGGGATCGAAACTCAAGTAGTAAAGGGACTTAAAATGGAGAAGCACACTGTCTTTATAGTGCATGCTGCTTCCCTCCACACCCCAGCAGAGCTGAATTCTGAAAATTAGTTTACTCTGGGCTGTAAGATTTGCCAGAAGCACTTGCATTGGAGGGGAGGCAAACTTCTATTGTCAACTTGCTTGTAAGCAGTGAGATTAATTAACCTATTGACAGCACTGAAACTGCTAATTGGTAAAATAGCTTTAAAAAGAAACTTAACTTTGAGTCAGCTAATGTTACAGAAAGGTTGCTGCTATCCTTTGCGTGATACTTGCCTTGCAGTCCATTCTGCACAGTTTTCCTTCTTGAACGGTCATGTCTCCAGGAGCCTGCAGAAAATGAGGCCGGAAGAATCGTTCCTGAATTGGTTCATTTTCATCACCACTGTCCCTTGATCGAGATCGTGGTCTTAAAATAACATGAAATAAAGGTAAATTTTTTTTTTCTCTGCTAAATCACAAGAACCAAAATCACTTACAAGGCTGCTTTCAATTTTAAATCACTTCTTTGACCTGTACCATAATCAATCCGTATTTACACACACACACTGGTAGCATTTGTCTCAGACTGAGTTAATTATGACACTGTACTTTTTAATAGCTTTCCTTTAATTGTGGCAAAATATGCTCTAGAAAACAATCTTGCTACAGAATAATTGCTTGTAATAATCATTCATTTATACATTATAGTATTTTGGTTTAGAGTTAGTCTTTAAACCACTAAAATACAAATAAGTCAGTAGGTCTTAGTGTACAGCTTCATTCCCCATTTCTGGTGTCCTGTGTATTTAATCCCTTCACTGTTGCTGATGACACCAGAAAGTGCAGGTACTGTTCATTAATTATATTTGCCTTTCAGAAAATAACAGCAGCTAAAAGCTAACTCAGTTGAGAAGAGACTCTTCACATTTTTCAACTTCTCTTGTTCTGCACTACCTGAAGACCGTACAGAAAATGCTGTGGATTGAAGTCCTGTGGATATTTATTCCTCATTTAACAGGTTTTTTGATTGAGATATTCTTGAACATTTTCAAAGGTACCAAATCGTGGTGTCAGAACAATGAGAATTTAATTTGGGAGAAACAGGAAGAGAAACTTTGGTCATTAAATTGTTCTTCATAAAAGTACTGTAAAAAGTTTAATAAAAAAAAACAAAAGGAAGGAGAAATAACTCCTGTCCCCAGAGGCAGTATCAGTCACTTTAAACTTTCATGATATAATTTAATCCATTTTCAGCATTGGCTAGTCTTGCCTGTTAATCTATCGAATCTTTTTCTAAGTGGTTCCTTGTTTAACTGGATTTTTTTCCAATTGAAATCAGCATTATTCCATTTGTGTGATTTAGTAATGAGAGAAACTTCGAAACAAAATTTTAGATCAGTTTTTGTCCTTGCCTGATCAGCTCTAATGGATTCCATTCTGGAGCCAACTGCTGCCTACAGTAATGTCCTGCTGCAGTGAAGAGGAGCTATTCAAATATCCTTGGAGATAACTTTTATCAACACCACTTTACACTGAAATTCCCTTATCTGAATTCTATTTCCTGTTAACTTGGGGCCAGTGTTTCCGTTTTAGCCAGTGTCTGCAGTATACACACTGCAGTATACATGGCTACACTGCGTTTTCTATTGCCCGGGGCATTTCTTTAGGTTAAAATAATTTGTAACAAAAACAACTTAAGACCCCCAACAGTTACTTTAGAAAACAAGATACTGTACTACTGAAACACTGTAGCTGCGCACTCTATTCCACTGAGGTTAAGTTGAATTAAACTTGCTTGGATTTGGTTTATTTTGTCCTCTGTTGTTGCCTTTCTCTCTATTATTGCTCTGTTTGAATTCTGACCAGTCACCACTTTTGCTACAGTATTATTAGGAAACCTAAATCAGCGTGCTGTTTAGTCTAGAGTCAGAAATAAATAATGCATTTATTTTTACCTTTTTGCAAATTTACCTCTAAAATTGCAGACCACTTTTAAGTGTTTACCTTGAGAGGTGAAACTAGGGTTATTTTAATTCTAAAACATTTTGTGGTTTTAAAGAAATAATGAAATGAGTAGAGCCAAGTACTTCAGATGTCCAGGAATGACAAACTGCAATAGACTGGAATACCCTTGGATGGGTTGTGGGTTCTTTAGAGCGGTGATGTCGGCATCAGATTGCAAAGATCAGCTTCAGCGGTACTGACATCATGTACTAAACCTGTCCAGGGGAGACTCCATGGGTTGGTGTGGTGCAATGCTTTAGGAATTTCTGTGAGCAAGAAGCTGGGGAAGACTTTCTGACTGACCATACGATAATGATCACTAATTTGGGATAAAGGAGATTAAGTTCAAATTAATCCTCTAATTAAGAGCAGGGACAATAAAAGTATTTATTTTTAAAATCTTCCTTAAAACTTGTGCATTTTAAGATTACTTATTTGGGGCTTTGGCTGCAGGGCAATGTAAGACAGCTTAGGTGCTACAGCACTGAGCACCAAGTCATCTAAGGGATTGGGCCCAAGCTTTGTACACGTCAGACAATTCAAAAGTTCCCCTCCCAAATGCTAAGAAGGTAATGTTTGCAAACTAAGGACATTTCAGAAAAATATATTAAAAATGAAATAACAACTACAGTGTTTTAAAATATCATCTTCACTACGTCACAGACAAAAACCAGAGTTCTGCTGGAACACATTCTGTGAGAGATTAAAAATACTTCAGGAAAAAGCCTGTCAGGAGTGTAACAAGCCATAAAGTTCATTAACTTATTACACTTGTAAAAAAAAATTAAAAAAAATAGGTTTTGTTGTGCTCAAGCAGAAAAGCTTATAGAAATAATATTGTTATGCCATAGGAGCATTACTTATCAAAAGTTTATGGCAATGTATGTGACAAATCTCATCATCCGCGGGGGAGCGCAGTACTGTGGTATGTTATGTGGTGGGAGTCTGTCTTGGGAAAGTTTTACACGCTCGTATTTCATCAGTCTCACGGAGAACTAGATGATGGGAGTAGTGGGAAATGTCACTAAACAACGTTGTGCTGAATGCTTAGCAGAAACAGACCTTCTGTAAGTAAAGATACCAGGATGAACCCTTCATGTGTGGTAATTTTACAGGAACTAAGAATCCCTAATAATTGCTCTAATTTTAATTGAACTGCTATATGGAAATCTCTTACTCATAATTCATTACTCTACTGGACACCCAACCAAAAGCAGTAGTGGCTGTCTGAGTGCTTGTCTCAATTAGAAAATAAAATACCAGCTGTAAGCAGCCTCATTCTTTGATTGCATTTGGAGAGAGTGAAAGAAGAGCCTCCTCCGTTATTGCCCAAGGTTCTGCCCATCACAGAGAGAGACACCCATCTTTCATCCTTCAGAAAGATGCACGAGTGCCAGCTGCTTCCTGCTCTCTTGCCCATACCTATCTTTCCTCCTCCTGTCCCCACTTTTAAAAATGTTTCCCCTTTCTCACCCTGTGTGCACTGACTAGTAAATTTAAAACCTGACTCTTGCTACAGCTTTTCCCTTCAGAGGGAGACTGAAGGGAAGAGATTCTCTTTAGCAGAGACTTTTCGTTTTTACCCATTCTGTGCAGGTGCCAAGTGCCTTATTTACTGGACAGGCTACGCCAGATGGACCCAGGTTTTTTGGGCTGTTCTCACACAGCAGTGAGAGCAGGATATTCCCCTCCATAAGCAGTCTGAGCTTTGGGCTTAACAGGCCCTAAGCATGAAGCGTTGGAGGGGGAGTTGGTAGGACGCCTCAGAGATGTTGGCAAATGCTTTCAGGACTGCGGGAAGCCCTCTTTGTTCCATGCTGGAATAAGACTGACAGGATCTTTTAAACCAACCTTGCTGCCTAATCCTTCCTAGTTATCAGAGGGTGGGAAGAGAGGCTGGTTTGCGTGCAGCAGTTCTACAGTACATACTACTACCCCTACTACTTGGTACAAGAATCATTTTGTTATTGCACGCTATGTAATTACATCTATTCTGTGTGTTACCATTGGACAATACTGAGCGGCTGTGGCCATTGTGACCATTAAGCAAAACACGTGCCTCATCCCAATAGAATCTGGAACCAGAGCCCTCATGCTCCCTTGAAAGCAGTTCTGCCTGGGTAACCAAAATTAATTCTTTTGTATAATCTAAAGATGTCTAAGCTGTGCTAAAAGGCCTCATAAATGCTTTGGGTAATGAAAAAGTATTTGAAGGGAAAATTCCATTACATGGTCCAACAATATAAACCAAAACTTCGTATGTGAATAATTGTAAAGTCTCCAAAGATAAGTTTAATACTCTATTTCTGACTCATAATTCCTTATAAGAACCTGAACTGAAATCACTGAAATACTAAAATATTTCTAATGTAAATCTAATAAACTTCTTTGGTATGCAGTTATTCCTGCTGTTTATTTAAATG